ATTTTTTTTATAAATTTAATTAAAATATTCATAGTTATGATTTTACATTAAAACAATCTTTTCTATTATAAAAAAATTATTTTTTTTATTTAATAATATTTACAAATTTAATTAAAATTTTTTAATATATAACTTATTCTTTTTATTATTAATTTTCTTTTTTATTTTATATTTTTAAAAATGTTAAAAAAAAATAGAAATTTTGATATATAACTTAATAAAATATTTTCTATTTTTCTAAATAAATAGTAATAATAATAAATATTTAGAATTCTACATACCTTTTGTTGCGAGAGACATTATGAAATAAAATATTTTATAATTAAAATAAATTTAAAATAGAAAATTCAATAATAAACAAAATATTTCAAATGATATATTAAAAATTAAATGATTGCACGATAATCAAATTTTAAACTGAGTTTATTTCGCTATAGATAGAATAGAAATTACAATATGATCAAAGTTTAAAGATCAAAGTTTCTTTCCTATATTTTACCGAATATAAAAAAAAAATAACCAATGAAAGAAAAAGAAAAATGAAAAGAGAAAAATAAAATATCATTCATTTCATAATATTTCGCAATATATTAAAAGAAATCTTTTTTTCTTTAGGTGGGGATAACTTTAGATATTTACATTAGATAATTCCATATCCACCAGAGAATTTTACATAACTCTCTTATTAGTGAGATATCAAAAATGATTAAATTATTATTATTATATATTATATATCTTCAAGACAGAATATGAGGGAAGAAAATTATTGACATGTATAGAGTATATAAAAAAATAAGTTTCATGATGTAATTCTACATTTTTGGATCGATAGAAATTTATAAACAATTTTTGCACAAAAATAATTTTGTTAAATAGATTTTCAAAACCAGAATTCTTTTTATTGCATTATATAATACTCATTGCAAAATCTCATAGATTGCAAAATCTTTTTATTAAAATATTAAAAAACGAATCCAAAGTAGTTTACGAATTTTCATAAATTATTTTACTCAAAATTTTTATATTTTTTATTGAAATATTATTATAAGTAATATTGTAAATAATATGTAATTGTAAATAATATGCATTATTACAGTATAAATAATATGTAATTGATAAACCAACTAGATATACATTAATTATTATACAAAATATTGGTGAAATATTCAATGAGGAAAACAATCCAAAAGAAATATCAATTTAGAAATATCAAGATATGACTTTCATCAATTAAATCAACAATTTATTGATCAATTAATATTATTATCCTAATGCTCATCAGAGATCAAATCAATATATGATCTATTAAAGAAAGAGTGAAAGAGAAGATGATCATCATCTTATCAATAATAAATCGACCAATAGAAATGAATCAAAGAAAAAAATCGTATACGTGTTCAATTAAAAGATCATACAGCTTCATAAGATTTTTGTATTACACAAGTTGGAACATAAATCGCGTTTTTTAAAACATAAGTTATTTCAAAATCAAAAAAATGATAAAATTTGAAACATTTTATTTTTAATATTTTTGGAGTAGAAATCATTATCATATTCATAAAATCATATTCATGATTTTATGAATAATCTATAAATAATATCTATAAATAAGACAAATAAGATTTAAAAAAATATAAAAATTTGTAATATCGAGTTATATGCTTTTAAAGACGCATGTATTAAAACAATATCCTCAAAGTGATATTTTTGTCCTAAACTACCAAATCAAATATTTTTTACAGTAAATGGAACTTGACTCATGTTTTCTATTTCTCCTGTTAAAACTATCTTAGATTCTCCTAATAAAATACTCTGAAAATAATAATCAATTGTTTTACACGTTTATATATGCGCATATATGAAAACATTTAAGCAATATATGTTAAAAAAAATATGTTGAATATTATAATTTTATGATATAATTTGTGATATAATTTTTTATTAATAAAAAAATATCATATTTAATACATTTTTTCAACATTGGTTTCAACTTGTTCGCGCTCAATCAGCGGCATATGATTAATTTACGATCGCAATTCAATTAAATTACGCGTTTTGTAATTGACTAATATTTTTTATTAAATTTATTAATAAAATCATAACGAAAGTTTTTGTAAAAAAAAACGTTTAAAATTATTTCAAAAATTTCCAGTTAATGAATTAGTTGTTGATGTATGATAATTTCAAATCATATATCATAAATCATAATTAATATATATGTATAACCGCTATTTCCTCAACAATATTAATAAATTTAAAATATTTCAATCTCAACTGCATTAAATTTAGATATTCTATGATTCAAAAAAATCGGAAATATAGAAATAAAATATAAAATAATTCTTGAATCATTGACAAGTTAATTACTTAAGTTAAAACGATACTAAGTATGAAGCTGATATTTCTATTATCATAATTTCAGTTTAAAGATTGTTTTATATCTTATATCATATTCCATGAAGGAATGGTTAAATTCGCTATTATGAAATTTATTTCTAAATATAATGTATACATTTTACATGTTTTCTTTATTACATTCATATATAATTTTTATTTATAATTTTGTTGTTACTTGAATGAATAAATTGGTTGTTTATTCGATTATAAATTGATAATTTGCAATTAAGGCAATCTTTATGATAATTATATATATGATAAATAATTAAGGTTAAAATTATTAAAATTTACACAAGAAAATTATTTTCTAGTTTTAAAATTTAAAATTTTGCAAACTTAAAAGTACAATATTTTTTAGTAAGAAATTAATAATTAATTTTCAATATTGTGTTTCCGACAGTGAGAGAATTAAAAACTACATAATCAAAATTGACATATTTTCTTTGTCTTTTTTCAGTAATGTTGCTCTTGTTATTTATGATGATAAATACTTTTTTGTTTTTACTAACAAATCGAAATTTCCAACGTTCATCTACGAGATGATGTCACTGATATTAAATTCTTTTATTTAATTTAAGATCAATGTATTTCATTAATAATTACAATTTTTATGATTGAATCAAAATAAGATTGTTATACTAAAATGTTGATGAAAAAAGAAAAAAATTTCTTATCTCTATTGATCCAGTTAATAGTAAATTATTTTATTAAACTATATACAATATTATTTATGATATATTTTAAAAATAAATTATGAAATACCAGTCAAGAATATAAATGATCACAATATTAATAAATATCTTAAAAAGCGACTTTTTTATTTATTTCTATAGATAAAATTCCATTTTTTAATAAATATTCAATGAAATTAAATCTTAAGACATGCACGCACGTTTATTGTAATAAATAATTTTATAAATATCAATAAAGTTCTATATCACATATTAAATTCGAATTTATTGTTAGATACACAATTATTATATTAATCAAATATTTTGATCTATTTTAACAAGAAATTTTTATAAGCAAAATGCATTAAAATTGACGAAAATTTATTTGCTTTCGTAAATTCTTAAATAATTTGTACAATTATTTATTACACAATTACACCTATAAAAATAGATGGAATTGAAATTATTATCTTATAAATTAAAATTAAACTAAAATTAAATATGATTTATATGTTTACAGGAGAATAAGAGATACAATACTTTCTTATAAGAAAAATGAGGAATCATTTTATTTTACTCTTCATAAAATGGTTCACTGATGTCTGCTTGGTATGCATATTCTACTCCCTATAAAGTCAATAATTAAAATCAATAATTTTTATAATATTTTTATATTTTATATCAAATTTTTACTTACTTCTTGAAAATGTTTGTGCATTTCCCGTGCAACATGAACTGATGAAAAAACGGCACATAAAGTACGTTTTGTTGGTGGTGTTAAAGCATAATCGATTGCTGTCCAAACACATTCTTTTTCATTAACCTTAATAAAAAAAAGAATTAATATTAATTAATTTGATATTTAATTTGATATTATTTAATATTATATTTATATATTTTTACCTCCATTTTAGTATTCATACTAATAATTGTATTGCTTACAATTTCATCTGTTTTATCTGTTTTTAATATTATTCTTTCACCAAAAATATTAGAATCATAATAAATAATTAAATTTCCTAATGCTACAGGTTCCCATTGATTCTCTTTATTTGTCCTAGTGAGCAAAGTTGCTCTTTTTTCAAAAGTTATGGAGTTTTGATCATCATCATCATCATCATCATCATCATCATCTTCATCTTCATCATCATCATCATCATCATCATCTTCTTCTTCTTCTTCATCTTCTTCTTTTATATCATCTACTGCACCTACTTCCTCACATTCTTCATCTTCATTTTCTTCATCTCCATGTTCTTCTATTATTGGACTATCTTTTACATTTTTTCCCCCTATATTTATATAAAAAATATAATCTTTATTTCAATTGCGATTTTAATAATTAATAATTAATATAAGCAAGCAAAAAGATGATATAAAATAATTATGTTATAAAATTATAAGAATATATAGAATAATATACATATATGTATCTTGATATGTTTTAACTTAAATTAGAGGCAAATTTTTATTTTAATTGATGAACAAAATTTAAATTATGTTTCATATCATACCATTTTATTCAGTATTATAATACTAAATGTAGTTGTACAAGATATGTTATTAATATAAATCATATTCAAAAATCATTAATAAGAAAAAAATTCACACTCATTAATATACATTGACTTAGTAATGAAACTTTATTTATTATAAAATGTAAAATAGTCATAGTTATATATATCTTGCGCTTTTTTTTTTTTTTTTTTTTTTTTTTTTTTGATTAGAAATATAAAAAGTGAAATTAAATATGATTTCATAAAATCACACATATCACAATTAAATTTATAATACATAATATATCAAAAATATTTTTGAAACAAAACTTTTAAAATAACAATAAATTTTTTAGAATTGATCTCTTTACGATCGTCTCTCAAAAAGAAATTCTTAATTCAAAAAACTTAATTCTTAATTGTAGTTTTCTTAAATAGTATTATATTTTATAAGTATAAATAAAGCTAACTTAATATGTTTAATAACAAAATAATACATATTTTGTATAGTATGCATATAACACATAATAGATATACATGTACCATGCAGCCAAAAGCAAGGGTTATAAACTAAGGAAAGCATTATAAACAAGAGACTTTCATCTTATTCCTTACGGCTTTCACTTAGCGTTTGTTGAATTTTGTCAATTGTATCCTTGAATTTTGTTGCCAGTACTGGAGATTTAAATTTAACTGATAAGCTCTCTAAACATGGTTGTTCTTCAGCATGATTCATGCCTGCCCACATCCAAGCACGATCCGACGTGCGAAGTCTACTAAAGGTGATGTCTGGAGTAAGTAAAAAATTACATACTACTTTATAAACTTGATCTCGACGTAATAATAATCTGTAACGATTATATTTTGCATGATGTAAGATTTTCATTTCTCCAACACCTCTTTCTTTCCATTCACGCGTGTCAGAATCGTATCTGTATAATTTAGCTCTTTCACCAAATACTGAAATAAATATGTAACCAATTAAAAACACATTTATTTTTTCTTTATAGGTAATTATTTTAAGTTATACTTTTTTCTTCTTCTTCTTCTCCAGTATGTACTTCAACGATATCAGGCATAGGTATAATAGGCTCGAAATGAGGATCATAATCATGATCATTTTCATCAACTTGATCATCTTCTTCTTCATCCTCATCTTTTTTTTCTACTATAATTTCTTTTGATTTTTCTGTACATTTGTTACTAATTGTATTTGATTTTGAACCAAATACAGCTGTTCCAGCTCCAGCAAAGGAAAAATTTGGATCTATGAAAAAGAAATATAGATATATATATATATATAATAATTTTATTAGTATGTATTTTTAAAAATTTTTAAATTTTATAAAAATGATAATATAAAAAAATATACCTATTTTAAATGCTGACTGAGAACTTTTAGCTGCTAAAGTTGAAAAAGATAAATCCGTCATTGGAAGAAAAGCAACATCACTCTCTTTCTGAGTATCACTTGTTGTAGGTGTTATTGTTTCAAAAGCATTAGTTGTCACAGGATTTGAAATTGTAAAAGATGATGTATTTGTACGTGCACCAGAAAATAAATTATATGAAAATGGTACAGATGTATTAGGAAATACTGAATTGGTAGATTTGACAGATACTTCAAGCGAACCCGTGTTTGTGTTTTCTGAATTAGCTTTTAATGCAGAAGATCCAAAAATAGGTGTAGCACTACCAAGTACAGATGTAATTGTAGTACTTGTAGTTTTTGGTTGAGTATTAAAATTATTTGAAAATACTAATTCAGAATTTGTACAAACATTAATGGAACTAGGTTTAAGTAATGTAGAAGAATCTTTTTTTGATATTCCGCCAAAAATATTTTTTCCTGTATTGTCTAATTTAGCCATTCCAAATATAGATGATGTGGGTATTGTAGATGTTGATGTCATAAAAGAAAAAGATGTAGCACAAGTAGTCGATGTTACTTGAGTTTGTGAAGTAATAGGACTACAAATTTTTAAATTTTCAGATATTGAAATATTTTGTTTATCTATCATAGATTTCTGTATTTCATTAGACGAAATTTGAGGCATTATAAAAGAAAATCCTGTTTTTTTATCACTTGATGTAATAGAATCAACATTTCCGAAAGATATAGTTGATGTAGTTGTAGAAATAGAATTTGTTGTAAATTGTAATGTGTTTGTACCATATAAGTTAGGTTTAAAAATAGAAGAAACAATTGTACTAGTACTTGAAATAGGAGTTTGAACAGTTGTAACTTCATTAGATGCAGTACTGAATATAGTAGATTTTGGAAGGAATTGCATTGTAGACGTAGTTAGAGATTTTCGATCTTCTGCAGATATCTTTGATGTTTTTTCAGAACTTTCATCTGTGAATAATGATAGCTTTGATTCTTTACAACCTCTACATCCAGGACAATCTGGTTTTTGTTTGTATGCATAAAAATTTTTTGGAAGTTGTAATTTTAACGCAGCTTGTTTTTCTTCAGGTGTTACTTTCATCTCATATACAACTTCAATATCTTGTACAGAAGATACTTCGGTAAATGTTTCTATTTTTGTATCATTTGTTTTTTCAATAGGTGGAAGTGCTTTTTTTGATTCGTCAATTATTTCTTTAAAATTATTTGCAATGTCAGATGTTTTAAAGCGACATGCAAAAAGAGTAGGTTCTATTTCTCCTTCACTATAATCAGCAGCATTCCATATCCATGTTCTTTCATCTTTCGAATTTAATTCAAAATTTGGAAGTACAAAATGATTTAAACATAATTTTAATATTTGTTCTCGTCTCATTACTAGTCTCAGCTTGCCTGTTTCGTTATGTCGTAATAATTTTATATCTCCTATACCACGTTCTTTCCATTCATTTGCAGGTTTATTATATCTAAATAATTTTGCTCTATGACTATAAAGAACTTCTTCTTCTTCTTCGCCTGTTTTAACTTCGATTTTATCTGGTAATGGAATTGTTGGTGAAAAATGAATATCATCATTTTCCACTATTTCTTCCTCGCTATTTTCTTCGCCACCAGATTTTGTTGGAGATGATTTAGTCACAAAATTGAATCCAAACGATTTTCCTGGGGTTCCAAAAACAAATTTTGCATTTGATGCATCTGTTTTTGCATCAGATTTTGTAGCTACTGAAGATGCAGATTTAGAAACATCATTAGAAGTAGGTAAACGAAATGAAAATACATTTGAACCCTTTTTAGTCGTATCTTGCGGAATACCAAAAGTAAACGTAGATGTACCAGAAGAACTTGAATTTATCTGAAAACCATCAATTTTTGGTTTTGGTGGAAGAGATGGATCTTTTGGTGAATCACATGTGACGCAATAATTACTTTCAGCTGCATTAAATATATTACAACATTTACATTTCCATGAACCAGTAGATGGTTTAGACATTTGCGAAAGAGATATTTGATTAGAAGGAATGTTTGAAATAATCGATTCATCAGATTCAGAAAAACGTGATTTTTCGCAAGCTATACATTTTATATCTGATACATTATTTCTTATGTAACAACCATTACATTCCCATGAACCTTCTGGTGGTTTGAACATTTCAGATAAAGAATTCTCTGATTTGTGTGTTTGTACAACTTGAATACTTTCTAGTTTTGTTAAATTTTCAGCGATAATACAATCTTTTACCATCTTTTGCTGATTACTGGTAATTATATTGTAAAATTGAGATGCCTGATTGGAAGTTTTAAATGTTGCTGCAAACATTCCTGTTTTATTATCTGATCCACAATACATATTCCAATTGACTACTGTACTATTACTTTTGTAAGTAAATAACATTTTAGCAAAAACATTGTAATTATAAAAAATTTTTAAATTATTTTCGTCTATCATTAATAAACGAATTTTATTTGTTTTTGAATTCCATAAAATCTTCATTTGTCCAATAGCTCTATTTTCCCATTGTTTATTATCATTATTATAATATTGAAGACTAATTTTTGCATTAAATAAAACTTCTTCATATTCAGTTTGTAAAGCAGATTTCTCAGTATCTTGAATACCAGCTATAGTAGATGTTGAAACACTTGCACCTGGTGCAGGAGCATGAGGTCTTCTAAGTGAAAACTGAGAAGTATTAGTAGAAATATTTTCATTAGTACTAGCAATATTGTTGGATTGAGAAGACAAAATCGATGTGCTATGAATACTACTTGGTACTGTTGATATTGTTGTAGTTGTAGCTGATTGTAAAGGTGAATTTGTTTTTGTAAATGAAAATGTAAACTGTGATGTGGTTGTTGTTCCTATGGTCGTGCTTTTTTGTGTTGTAGTTATAAAGTTTTCTGCATTTGTAACAGTTTTGTTAAATGTGAAACCAGCAAAAGGACTAATTTCTGATTTAGTAGAAATTTTTGAAGATTCTGTAGTAATTGCTTTTTGAATAATTGGTGTTGATGAAAATGAAAATCCACCAATAACTGTTGGAGTTATATTATTTTGTAATTTTTCTGATATAATAGAATCTGTAGATGCAGTCACATCAATAGATTTTTGAATAGTTTGTCCAGAAATAAATAATGGTGTTTGTTCTGTAATTTTCTGTTCTGATTTTGTTTTTTCTGTTTTTTTACTTATTACAATATTGTCTTTATTTGATGTCTTATCAACATTTTCAATTTTTACTTTTTCAAAAGTAAGATTCGCTTTAGCTTTATCAAAATGTTCCTTGAAGGAAATACCTTCTTCCACAGTTTTGAATCTAATACAAAACTTCTCTAATTTTAATTCTCCATCTGCAAAATCATGTGCAACCCAAAACCATGCCTTTTCATTATTTGATTTAGCAGTTAATTCCATATCTGGTACAAGATAATGATTTGCACATACTTTTAATACTTGTTCCCTGCGCATAAGTAAACGAACTTTTCCTTCTTCGTTCTTTAATAGTTTAACATTACCTATACCACGTTCTTTCCATTCATTATCTACAAAACGATAAAGTTTAGCTCTTGCACAAAATAGTGTTTCTTGCCCTTCTTCTCCAGTAGTAACTTTAATTTCTGCAGGTAATGGTATAACAGGAACAAAATCTGGTATTGGATCATGTTCATGATCTGAACTATTTGAAGATCCCGTTGAACAAATGGTAGTGTTTTGTTTTGATGTTTCTGATGTAGAAAGATTTGCTGGAGTAGTTGTAAAAGTATTTGATAAAGGAGGTAAATTTACTGTTGTTGGTATAGTGGCTTGAGAAGGCATAGAAATTTGATAACAATGTGGAGCAGATTGTTCTGTAATGACTGGTGTAGAAGAATTTCCTTGTCTGAAATGTGGAGGAATTGTTACGCTAAGTGTTGGTTGTACAATCGGTACTGTAGTTGGAAGTGTATCAGAAGTGGTAATGGCAACATTGACTGGTGGAATTTTATTTACAAGAGTATCTTTTATGGTTGGCTCTGGTTTAGATGTTTCTAATTTTTGCAATGGAATTTGCAATGGTTGATTTGTTGGTGGCATAAACAAACTTTGTTGAAGAATATTTTCAGGTATTTTTGATCTTGTATTAGGATATAAAACTGGCATTGAATAAATATTTGGAGGATATAGAGAAGGAATAGCTTGCGCATTTGGATCATTAAATGACATTCCTGTTGGATAATATCCTTGAAAAGTAGTTGAAGGATATACTAAATGAGAATATGGGTGTCTGTGAGAAGATTGAAACATATTTCCAGATATTGAAGATGCACCTGATTGATTTGCATTGTAATTCAAATCATTATAATCATCTTCACTTAAAATACATAAATCTTCTTCTAAATTGGGATTAACATTAACTGTTTGAGTACGTTGTTTCTGAATTTCTTTTCGTAATTCTGTCATTTCTTTTGCAAGTCTTTCCACTATTTCCATTACTGTTTTATTTAATTCCAATATAGTTTTAGTTTGCTCTGCTATCGACTGTATCATATTATCTTTTGAATGAATCATTTGATTTATGGCACGAATTTGAGCATCAAGTCGTTCAGGACTTGGACGTGCTTCAGAACGATTCCGTGATAAATCCAATATATCTTGATGTTGTAGTTTATAAGGAGTACTAGATTGTTTTGGTGTACGATGAATATTTTTTTGTGGTGTACTCAAGACATTAACTGAAGCATTTAATCCCGTTAATGTTGGTAATGCTATTTTTGTAACTGCTTGATCAACAGCACTATGAGCAGATGAATAACTTTCATCCGACATACCATCGCATTCATTTCTACTTAAATCACCTCGTGATAAATCTGGATCAATTCTTTTCAATTTATTTTCAATATCGGCAATATATGTAGAAAGTTCAGAATTCAAAGGATGTTTTGGATTTGTTTCTGGACTACGCAAGCGATCCAATGTTAAATAGAAACATTCCCTTGCTTTTGAAAGCATAATTATATGTTGTGATCTCATTTCAGATGTTAAATTTTCCTTAGGTATAGAACTTATAATTTCATCTGCAAGTTTTTCATACATTTGACCTTGTTGAAATGATGCTTCTGGACACTTTAATGCTTGTAGAGCATTTATCGCTTTTTCATATTGTTTGCTACGTACGAATCGTTGAGCTAAAAGCAATTTACCTTCTTCTAAAGCTTTAATTAATTCTGCATTATTCATATCTTTTCCTTGATAATTAAAAAATTTGGAATTAGTTACACGAATAACTTGATTATTTTGTAATCTTTCAAGAAGCGGAATTGCAGCTGACCAATACATTTCAGATCGTGCTTCTAAATATGGTATATCACTATTTTCTTGATTTATTTCTTTTAGTGTTTCTGCCCTATGATGAAATATTCTTGCTAAATGAACTAAAAGAACAGGATGTAACCCATGATTTCCTAAACAACGAACTACTTCTAAACCTCTTTGTAGTTCTAATCTCAATTCTCCAAGATCATCATCAAGTGGCTTTTGTTTATCCATAGAATATACTTTATAAGCATATGACCACCACTGTTCTTGTGCACAAGTACAAAGTGTATTAGTAAGATCTGCTGGTAATGTAGGTAATTTTTCAGGATTCAAAAGTCCACCATGTTGTTCTTCAATTATTGAAGAAGTACAGATAGCAGCATTTAAAAATGCATCAATATCAAGACGACTTAAACTATCAGGAGCTGCTTGATGCAAATTATAAACAGAAAATTGTAATTCACAAAAGACATGTGATGTTTGATTTGGATGAAGCCCATTATCTTTATTTTGTGAACCTTGAGGCCGAGCTCTTAAACCAAGCCAAACTTGATGATGTAATGAATCTGGCCACGCTTCTTCAGATATTTCATCAAATCGTTTTAATTCATTATACGAACATAGACGTAAAGGTGGATTTGAAATTAAAGAATTTGTGAAAAATGATGTTTTTTTACCATCTTGATATAATCGTCCAATAAATATTCTTTGATATATTCGTTCTCGCCATGAACTTGTACAAAATTTATCAATTTTATCTAGCAATTTTTTAGTATTATCTCGAGCATAATCTTGAAGTACATGACCAGCTTGGCTACACCTATATGATCCTTCTCTGTACCATATATGTATTTGATTCTTGAATCTGTCCTTCAAATGCATAGTCCAAACAGCAGTAGGATCTATAGGTGTTATATGTAATGCAGTCAACAAAAGAGGTCCACATAATCTTCCTGCTTCAGACCAACTGTCTTCTCCAGCTTTAATTTTTCGTAAAATTAAACACGCTAAATGAAAATGTAACTGACCCCACATATGTAATAACATGTGTTCAATAAAAGCAGGATGATTAGAAAAATTTTTTGATTTAAATTCAAATAAACTTTGATCAAAACTGCAATATAAAAAAATATTTAATTTAATAATATTAAATACAATAAATAAAATTTATATCACATATATATACTTACTTAAATACTGCTTGTGTAACATCAGTTATACTTTTTTTAATAATGTTACCTTGTTCTTTAAGGCAAAGTGCTGCATATCTTTCTAACACCGAAATATAAAATATCCAAAATGTCCAATCTGATTGTTTATTTTCTTTACATTTCATAAGTAATTCACTTAATGATTGATACCAAATGATATTATTTCTGTGACTATGTGTTGCTTCTATTCCAGCAGCTTTATTATATGCATCTTCAAGTCTATGATTTTCTATATAATGCTTGAGCAACTTAACTTGTAAATTCACATCTGTTTGTCTTACTGATAATTCAGCTAAAAATAATTTTGTTGAAACAAGTAAATTTTATTAAATTATATGAAATAATATAAATCTAAAATGAAAAATATATTACGTACATATGATAAGTTTTTCTAAATCATCATCATTACCATTTGGTTTTTCTAAAGTTATTAATTTTTCCTTTAACTCAAAAACTATTGGATGATGTGGAAATTTTTTATCAGCTCTTTCTACTAAATGTTTTATTTTATCATTTGCTATATTGATATCCATATTTGATAATAACTCACATACTGAAAAATATTATTTAAATAAAATATAAAATAAATATAAAATATTTAAAATAAATTATACCTTTTAAAAGAAGATCATCTTGCTTTGGTTCTAATTCAAGGGATATTTTATATTGTGTAAAGGCTGCTTCCTTTTGTCCCAAACCTTCGAGAGCTTGTCCTAATAATTTATGAGCCCCTGCAGATTTATCTCTTATTTCTAAATAATTAGAGACATACTTTTTTGCAGATTCATTGTCTCCCACTTGATAATATAACTTTGCAATATTATAACATCGAAGTTTTTTCTTGAAATTAAAATAAAAATCTTAGACATATATAAAATTAATAATATAAATTTTTATATTATTAATTAATTTAATCATAAATATAAAAACAAAAATAAATAGAGATAGATATGTTAATATAAATAAACATTATTATAACTATTAATAAAATATTTAATTATAAAATATTTTTTAAAGGAATATAAAATAAAATAAAAATTTGTTCTGCAAAATAATAATTTTTTTTCTATTTTATTCTTAAAATATTCTTAAAAAATAGCTAAATTATTATATAGAGGTTAATGCATGTGCATATATTTATTCTTTTCACAATCAAGTCAAGGTCTTTAATACTATACACTTGACATAAAATATAAATTTAAAAAAATAAAAAATTAATATGTATATAAAATTCATTTAAAATAAAAATTATAATTTAAAAAAATTATTATATATAATATAAAAAATTAACAAAGATTATTTAGATAATGTTTAATAATATGGATTTTTTTCTTGAAAAATAACCTTACCTCCTCTGAACTTTTAAGTTTAATAAAAATATCTTTCACATGTCGATCAACATCTTTTTTCGATCGAAACATTTTTAGAAGGTAATACAAAACGTTTTCTAATAATCACTAAAACAATTAATAAACAGTATTCAATTAAAATGAAATTAGAAATACCGTTATTTATAACGAACTCCACGATAAAACTTTCTCCCATAGTACAAATTGCTTTCAAACGGTCTGCATCCAAATCTGAAAACCCAAGTAAGTGCTGCCCTCTGATATGTTTTTAAATTGTTTAAAATATACCTTTTCACAATAAATATTTAAAATATCATAATTCCTTTCCAAAATTAAATAAAATATTTTAAATTTGATATATCAGCTTAAAATTGTTATTTATAAAAATTATTATTACATCACTTATCGCAATCAATATGAAGTTATTAACAAAATTTAAAATAGAAAACAGACAGCCAATATAAAAGTGGAAAATTGTGTAAAATTATACAAAATATAGTAGACAATCTTTATTTCTTTTGTTAATATATAATGATTTTCAAAGAATATTTAATATGCATTGTTTATAATTTATATATATTTTGTTTACTTTTATAAAATACAGAAGCAATGATATTGTAATTTTATAACATTTTATAAGAAAAACGAAAATTATAATAGTAATTATAATAGTACACAAAATGAATATAAATAAAATATTGTACAATTGCATTACCTTCATTTTTAAATTAATACAAATGTTATACATAAAAAAAATATTTTTAAAATTATATGTAAAATATTTTATTCGAATTAAATACAAAAATAATGTAGATATATTATATCATAGTAAAAATTTTTTGGTAGTTTCTAAACCATATGATATGTATATTAATAGTAATAATCATGAAAAAAAAGTATGACAAAAATGTTTTTAAATTAAAAATAATATTTATTAGTTTTATAAACATTAAAATTTTTAGGATACACTGCAATTTGAATTAAAAAAAATTGTACCAAAATTAGTAAATCCAAAATTATTTCATGAATTTCATTTTGTACATAGATTAGATTATGTGACAAGTGGTGTAATATGTATTGCATTAAATAAAAAAGCAGCTCAAATTGCTTCTAATGCATTTGAAGCAAGAACAGCTAAAAAATTTTATTTAGCATTACTTCATGGACATATTGATGAACCTTATCTTATTATAAATAAAGCAATTGGTAATCAAATCAAGATAATATCTATTTATTTATTTATTATTTATTATAACAACATTATTTTTTTAGGAATTGATATTAGAGAAAAAAAAGGAAATCATAAAATGTGTGTCAGTGATAGCATCTTTTGTGAGAAACCGAAAAAATCTTATACAATTCTTATGGTATTAGAAAGAGGTTTTAGAAATGGAAAACCAGCTACTAAAGTATTATTATGTCCTAGTACAGGTAGAAGACATCAACTAAGAGTACATTGTTCATACATTGGTCATACTGTAATTGGTGATTATACATATAGTGAACGAAAAGATATAGAACCTTATAGAACATTTTTACATTCCTTCAGGTATTATATATATAGAAAAATTATTTAAAAAATGTTTATTTATATTTTAAAATATTTTATTTTATAATTTTTTAAAGGTTAATATTAAATAATGACATTGAAAATTTAGATATAAGAAGTATGGATCCATTTGTAGCTTCTGATCCAAGAAATCAATGGTCTCCAACAAATATTGCTAGAATATTAGATGAAAATGTATTTTCTGATATTTCCAAACTTATGTAATTAAACACAACATTAAAAATTTATTTCAATTTATTTTATTCAATCTAATGCTTTAATCCCACATCCTTGTATTTCAAATGGAATAATTAGTTCTGGTAAATTTGATGATAATTTAATGCAAGCATATCTTAAAGAATCTATTCTATAAAATTGTATAGAAGTAGTTATCATACTTAACCATGTTGTTCCTAATGTTGGTCGTACATTTAAATTATCATTAAGTACATTATTATATACATCTGTTGTTACCTATATATATATATATATATATGTATAATTTTTGTAAAATATTTGTGCAATTATATTATTAGTTATTACATAAACATATTATTTTTTTTACCTGATTGATACAAACAACACAAATATTATTTTTACATAACTTGTGTAATTGTTGTCCAATTATTCTTAAACTTTTTGCTCTATTATTAGATTCATCTTTCCAATCTTCTACTCTATATGGAGCAGCAATTGAATCTATAACTATTAATCCTATCTTTTGTACAGATATTAATGTTGGAATTCTATGAAGTAAACATATTTCCAATTCTTCCTATAAAAATAAAAAACTATAAAATAAAAAACCTATAAAAATAAAAATATAATATTAACAATTGAATTAATTTAATAAATAATAATACTTACAATAGTAGAAATATGTTCTACAAATACTAAGTCACCATTTATTCCATGTTTTTTAGTAATTTCCAATTTTTGTATCAATTCTTGTAATCTTCTTGATGGAAATATAGATTCAGTACAAATATATATTGCACCTATAATTAATTAAATATATTTGAAGAAAAATATTTTAAAAAAATGCTTATAATCTTATAAAAAATTCAATTTGTAAAATACCAGCAGCAAGACCACCCTCTGTTTTAGGTAATTGAACTGTTAAACATAATTGTAAAGCTAATTGTGTTTTTCCTGTACTTGCAGCTCCATAAATTTGTGTAATCCCACGATTAGTTATACCACCTTCAAGTAATGTATCAAATTTCGAACAACCAGTTGTAAGAAATTGTTCATATTCTTTTATTATTTTAGCATTAACTGATATGATAAATCAAAATGAATAACATATTTTATTAATATTATAATATAAAAAATAATAAAATTTTAATACCAAAATAATTTTCCATTATTCTTTTTTTATTTCAAAAACATTTCTTAGATAATTTTATTTTTTTAATGATATAAATACAGACTAAATATAAAATTAATCTATACTTAATTCAGTGCATTTTTGTTATATACATATTCCGAGTGCTTCCGAACCATTACCATTTTTGAGTCACATGCGATATTATCGATAAGAAAAATTGACATTTTCGATTAAATTTCTGTAAAAATTTTCGAATAAATATGATTTTGCATTGATTTTGATTTGCATATGATTTTGATATGATTTGATTTTGATATGAATGGAAATTGTATAAAATTTAATGTACTTAATTTTTAAGCTGCAATATTAATTAGATCTTAGTCATTAATATTATATTATAATTATTTTAAATAACCTATTTCATATTTTGTCTATGATATAAATTTAATTATCTATTCATTTAATCATTTATAAATATAAAAAATTCTATTATAATTATAAACAAAATAGATGTTAAAGATTCTTGAAAACAAAAAAAAAAATTAAAATAAATTTTTTAAATTATTTATATTATATACATATTTTATTTAATATATAATAAAATACAAGAATAGAATATTCTTAATTTTATTAAAAATTGTAAGACAAACATATTTCTATTTTTTAAAATTTTTTATAATTAAAATATAAAACATCAAATTAATTATATATAATTTTATTGTATTTCAAATTTTTGAAAATATTTTCTAATAATACTTAAATTATTTCTTCTTTAGTACTTTTTCTTTCCTTTTTTTAATATGCTTTTTTATTTTAGTTTTTCTTTTTTCAGCCTGTTGTTCTTTTACTGCTTTTTTTCGTGCCTATAATTAAATATATATTTAAATATATGTTTTACATATGTATATATAATATCATATATATATATATATATAAGTATATTATATAAGCAATTATATTATCTTACCTTTTTACTATCTGGACTCTCATGTCGAGGTCGAGCTGAATTAACGAACTTTGATTCATTTTGTATATCTTCTTCTTCACTATCTTCAGAATTATTACTTTTCTCAGATAAATTATCTTTTTCTTCTATATTATTTATTTTTTTAGATCTTTCATTAAGAATTTCAGGAGTATCAATAGGTTTAGATAAATCTGATTTTAAACCAACAAGAGTTTTATATATCAAATCTCCTTTTCCTGTTTTTGCAAGTTTAATATCACGCTCAATATCAATTACCTAAACATTTTGTTAAAAGTGTACTTATGAAATTTGATTAGAACTCTTATTATACTCTTGAATATTCAGATATTTATTTAATATAATTTATATTTATTATAATTTGAATTTTTTTCGATATTATGAATATGAATAAATAACTTTTATTAGAATACTTAAAAATATCCAAGTATTTAAATTTTGAAATTAAATTTGAATTATAAATTATTATTATAATAAATAATTCAAATTTTTAAATACTGTGATATAATATTTCAACAAGCATTCTAAATTGAATGAGTCTCTCAATATCCGTTAATTTAAATAAATAATAAAAATTTTAAACATAAATAATATAAACTTTAAATATATATATATATAATATATTGTATATATTATGTATATACAATATTTAATGATATATATAATTATATATTTATAGCGATATATATATTTATATGTATACTTTTATATTACCTGACTTAAGTTTTGTGGAATATAAACTTGCTTAAATACTTGTTCTTCTATTTGCTGTTCAGGATCAATACATTGATCACTTTGCTGTGTCATTTGTTCTGATATTGTATCTAAATACTTATCCATATTTTCTTCAGTTATTGTTGGATCTGTTATAAAATTAAATAATGCCTTAACAGTCATCACAGCTACTTCATTTTTCTTAAAAAATTCTATAAAAAAAATTAAATCATATTGTTTATTAATTCTAAAATTTTTGAAACATTTAATAATATTATCATAAAAAATTTTTATCATTAATTACCAGTTATATTTGTACAATCTTTTCTAAGAAATTCAAGTGCCATAGGATGATCATGTTCAACTGCTTGTGATACATCTATTATTATAATAGATCCATTATGATATAACATATTATATTCACTTAAATCAGCATGAACAAGTTTACATTTATTATATAGTTTCCACATTATTTCAATACATTCTCTATATAATTTTCTTGATTTAGAAGCAGTTAAAACAACATCTTTTAATTTTGATGATGGCCAACCATTAGTACCTATGAAATCCATTAATAGTACATGACTACGTAGTAAAATTGGTTTTGGAGCATTTACATCTCCTTGTTGAAGACGTATTAAATTTCTAAATTCTTTCTCTGCCCATGTTCGTACCATCTTTCGTGGATTATGACGACAATATCCATGACGAAAACGAAATTCTCCAGTGACATATTTATCTCTATCCTTAAAATGTAAAATTGATGTTTTATATATTTTTATTGCAAATTCTATTCCTGTTTTTGATATTGCATGATAAACATTAGCTTCTTTTCCAGTTGAAATACATCCATTAATTTCTGCAATTATACCCTGATTTAAAAGTTTAAATAGTATCATTCTTGTACGAGGATCTAAAACTTGTTCAACAGTTGCACGATCATGTTTGTCTTTTGTTCTAAACCTATCTTTTTCTACACGTTTATCATTTTCAATAAGAAGATTTGCTGCATGTTCTGGTAAAATGGGACCTTCGTATTTTTCAATATTAATTTTATTAGCATAACGACGAAATAATTTATCTAATGGCTGATAATTAGTAATTTTATCAGATATATTTTGTGCATTAATATTTTGTATTTGAATATTTTTGACAATATTTTTTGAAGCAGTTCCATTTTGAATAAAATCTTCATTCCAACTAAAATCGTCATTATCTAAATTATCATTGTCATCATCTTCCTCTTTTTCATTATTTGAAATATACAATTTATGAATATTTTTGGATAGTTCACAATGAAATGATGGTTGTCTTTCACACATTTTTAATCTATAAGTAATATCATAAAATTAAAATTTATATAAATCATTAAAGAAGATATAATTAATAATTTAATTATATTATAAATATATACGTATACATTTTATAAAATATATATGTATACATTTATATATATACATATTTTATATATATATATACTTTGTCTCAGTTTCATCAGTTTCACTGAATTGTCCTTCTTCATTATATTCATGCATAGTAAAATTTTATTTCTTTATATTAACTTTATTTTAAAGATTAACAAATATATAAGAAATATATATCATATTTTTTTAAACTATAGATTAAATTACGTTGCATGTTACTATTTACATATATTAAGGCGTATTTCAAATTATAATAATAATAATAATATAAAAAATAAAAAATTTACTTTAATACATATATGTCTCGTTATATAATATTATATGTATATTTAAACATTACCAAATATTATCAAATATTTGTTATTTAATAATATATTTTCTAATAATTTTTTATTATTTTAAATCATCACGTTTTAAGCAAATTAGAACTATGCTCTCTATTGTCTTTATTATCTATGATTAATGTATAAAAAAATGTATTTTGTTTACATGTACCATTATTTAAATTGTAAAATCGTGAATAATGATAAAAAGTAATGATTATATTTTTAATAATTAAATAATATATAATAATAAAAATTTATGTATGATATAATACAACCAAATATAATGTAAAGTATCCATACTTCTAATAAATATATTAAGTTATAAATTATAAAAGAAAGACATAAGATATACAAAAGAAAAATATCTTCTAAAATAATTTATATTCTTTCATATAGTTTATTATAATTTATTATATTCTTTTATAAATATAAGTAATTATAAATA